ACTACCTTTATTAGTATTTATCGGCGAGGGTGTAAAAAATCACCGCACCGGGCGAGGCTCGAACTCACAACCCCGGCATCTAACCCCAGCCATTGTCCTCGCGTCGCGTACACACCCCGAATTGAGCGGGTCCGAGTGACCCTCGATCCCATTTCACACAGCCCCCAAGAGTTTTGCAAAAAGGAGGAGGCCGAAATACAACAACGTGGGCATGTTTCACCGTTGTCCATCTGTTCTTACTACCTTTATTAGTATTTATCGGCGAGGTGTAAAAACCACCGCACCGGGCGAGGCTCGAACTCACAACCCCGGCATCTAACCCCAGCCATTGTCCTCGCGTCGCGTACACACCCCCCTCATTGAGCGGGTCCGAGTGACCCGCGATCCCATTTCACACAGCCCTGGGAGTTTTGCAAAAAAGAGGAGGCCGAAATACAACAACGTGGGCATGTTTCACCGTTGTCCATCTGTTCTTACTACCTTTATTAGTATTTATCGGCGAGGGTGTAAAAAACCACCGCACCGGGCGAGGCTCGAACTCACAACCCCGGCATCTAACCCCAGCCATTGTCCTCGCGTCGCGTACACACCCCGAATTGAGCGGGTCCGAGTGACCCGCGATCCCATTTCACACAGCCCTGGGAGTTTTGCAAAAAGAGGAGGCCGAAATACAACAACGTGGGCATGTTTCACCGTTGTCCATCTATTCTTACTACCTTTTTAGTATTTATCGCCGAGGGTGTAAAAAACCACCGCACCGGGCGAGGCTCGAACTCACAACCCCGGCATCTAACCCCAGCCATTGTCCTCGCGTCGCGTACACCCCCGAATTGAGCGGGTCCGAGTGACCCGCGATCCCATTTCACACAGCCCTCAAGAGTTTTGCAAAAAGAGGAGGCCGAAATACAACAACGTGCGCATGTTTCACCGTTGTCCATCTGTTCTTACTACCTTTATTAGTATTTATCGGCGTGGGTGTAAAAAACCACCGCACCGGGCGAGGCTCGAACTCACAACCCCGGCATCTAACCCCAGCCATTGTCCTCGCGTCGCGTACACACCCCGGATTGAGGCGGGTCCGAGTGACCCTCGATCCCATTTCACACAGCCCTCAAGAGTTTTGCAAAAAAGAGGAGGCCGAAATACAACAACGTGCGCATGTTTCACCGTTGTCCATCTGTTCTTACTACCTTTATTAGTATTTATCGGCGAGGGTGTAAAAAACCACCGCACGGGCGAGGCTCGAACTCACAACCCGGCATCTAACCCCAGCCATTGTCCTCGCGTCGCGTACACACCCCAATTGAGCGGGTCCGAGTGACCCGCGATCCCATTTCTCACAGCCCTGGGAGTTTTGCAAAAAAGAGGAGGCCGAAATACAACAACGTGGGCATGTTTCACCGTTGTCCATCTGTTATTACTATCTTTTTTAGTGTTTATCGCCGAGTGCAAAAAAACCACCGGCCCGGGCGAGACTCGAACTCACAACCCCGGGATCTAACCCCAGCCGTTGTCCTCGCGTCGCGTACACACCCCGAATTGAGCGGGTCAGAGTGACCCGCGATCCCATTTCACACAGCCCTGGGAGTTTTGCAAAAAGAGGCCCAAAATACAACAACGTGCATGCGTTCCACTGTAATCGATTTATTATTATTGTTATTAGTATTTATTTCATTATTAATTCCGTGTCCGTTTCGGGACATACGGTACATTTCAAGCAATGGCGACATAAGCGTTTCAGACACACACACACACACACACACACACACACACACACACAGCCAACAACAACAACAATGCACCCATCGTCTGTCAAATCGTCCCGCCTCGGACGAAGCCCCAGTTGGCGCACGCGGTACAGTAGGCTCGCGAGCAGTCTTTGCAGATGTACTTGTTACACCGGCCGCACACCGTGTGCGTCTTGCGGTCCTTCTTGGACGGGCACATCTGACACCTCTTCCTCTTGCTGGCCCGGTTGTCCGGCGCGGGCGCCCGGAGCGGGCGCTCTCGGCCCCAGGGCGTCCGGATCGAGCCCGTCATCGGGCGGCGTGCCGCATAGGGCCTCCTCGCGCGCGGCCCTCACGACCGCCGCGGACGCTTCCGTGCGTGGCAGGGTGACGCGCCTTTCGATGAGTGGCCTCACGAGCGCCTTGCCCAGGCGCTCCAGGAACACGCGCCTCTTGTTGCGCTTGCCGGGCATCCAGTCGGGGTGGACCTCGCGCCATATCACGAAGGCGTTGTACGAGGACACGTCGAGGATGTTGTGGAACACGGCCAGGGGCCAACGCGCGGTCATCCGTCGGCAGCTGTACGTGCCGATGACCTTGTCCAGGTTGTCCACGCCGCCCTTGTTGCGGTTGTAGTCGAGGATGAGCGCGGGCTTCCTGTCCGCGCGGTCGCTGAGCCGGGCGTCCGCGTGCAGCGTGCTCAGGAGCAGCACGTTCCTGTTTCGCCGGGCCAAGTAGGACACCAGCGTGGCGATGGGCGTGAAGGCGAACGCTGACGACAGGACCCGGCGGGTCTTGGTCGCGAGCAGCGCGGGCGGCAGCTCGGGCTTGTTCTTGCGCACCGTGCCAACCAGGGCGAGACCCCTGTCCGCGAGGAGCCGCTGCGCGAGGTTCGTAGGACGTGAAGAAATTGTCACAGGTGACCGTGTGGTCCCGGGGCAGTCCCTTCGTCAGGTCGAACACGACCCGCGCGCCCAGGTTTCTCTCCGGGCCGTCGCGCGTCTTCCCCGTGTACACCTGCATCTTCCAGGCGTAGCTGGACCGCGCGTCGCAGCACACCCACGCCTTGATCCCGTACCTCGCCGGCTTGCTCGGCATGTACTGGCGAAACGGACAGCGACCTGGGGAAGACGGAGCACAAGGTTGAGCGACACACAGACATAGACACATACACAGACACACACACACAAACACGCAGCCGCTACCTCTGAACGGGACCAGCTGCTCGTCCACCGTCACGTCGGGCCCGGGGTTGTAGAGGCTCGGCAGGCGCGCCGACCACTCGTCCCAGAGCTCTCGCACGGCGGCCAGTTTGTCGACTGCGCGCCTCGCGGGCCGCGTCTCGCGGTCGTCGAAGCGCAGCAGGCTCGAGTACGCGTAGAACACCTTGAGCGGCATGGTCGCGCGGAAAATCGGCCGTCCGCTCTCGGCGTCCCAGAGGCTCGCCGCGGCCTCGCCCCGGGACCTGTACACACCGGCCAGGATCAGCAGGCCCGTGTAGGCACGCAGGTCGACCGCGTCCATCCCGCGCCAGGCGTCTCCGTGTCGCCGAGAGCCCTCGCGGTTCGTGGCCTCCAGGACGATCGCCTCCACGCGCGGCGTGATGAACAGGCTGAACGCCGAGGCGATGTCGCACGCTCCCGCCGCCGCCTGCGCCGTCGGTCCCGCAACCGCCGTGACGTCCACCGGGCGGCGACCCTTGCCGCGCGACAGGGCACCGAGGACCACGCGATCTTGCCGTTCTTCGACAGGTAGATCTCGCCGTCGGCCCTCCTGTCCCCCGGGCGATCGTCGTCTGCCGCGGCGTTCCCAACGTCCGGGGCCTCTTCGTCGTCGACGGCGTCGTCGTCGTGCTCCGGGTCGTACTCCTCGCCGTCCTCCTCTTCCGACACGTCCTCCTCGGGCCCCTCGTCCTCGGAGGCCACCATCTGCTCCAGGGCCTGTGTGGCCGTGAAGCCCTGTCGCGTCATGTCTCCCTCGACAGAGGCCATGGTTTGTGCCTGTGTGACGCGAGACCCTGGCGGACGCCGCGCCGTTAGTAGACCTTGTGACGGACCCAATGACAGCTGGGAGGAGACCGTGTTTCTGACACACAAAGACATGGGGAAAGGCCAGGGACAGTGTGTTTCTGAGCCCAGAGGTCAGCGAGCAGGGTAAAAAAGAGCTTTTGTTTCCCGGGAGACGAGTACATCTGGGAGGAGAACGTGTTTCTGACACCCAAAGACAGGGGGAAAGGCCAGGGACAGTGTGTTTCTGAGCCCAGAGGTCAGCGAGCAGGGCAAAAAGAGCTTGTGTTTCCCGGGAGCCGAGTACAGCTGGGAGGAGAACGTGTTTCTGACACCCAAAGACAGGGGGAAAGGCCAGGGACAGTGTGTTTCTGAGCCCAGAGGTCAGCGAGCAGGGTAAAAAAAGAGCTTATGTTTCCCGGGACACGAGTACATCTGGGAGGAGAACGTGTTTCTGACACCCAAAGACAGGGGAAAGGCCAGGGACAGTGTGTTTCTGAGCCCAGAGGTCAGCGAGCAGGGTAAAAAAAGAGCTTATGTTTCCCGGGAGGAGTACATCTGGGAGGAGAACGTGTTTCTGACACCCAAAGACAGTGGCCTTGCTACATCGGCAGTTACCACAAAATACAAATACCTGAATTGACCCTTGTTGCCTCTGCGTAGTTTGGCATTTTAAAATGAGACCATATTGTAGGACACTCTACTCCTACAAAATCACACAAAAGTTACTATAGGTCTGCGAGCAGTAGTGTCTGCTTCTGAACGAGATCTGCTTACAGCATACATTGCCACGCTACAGTGTATTCGACAACTTTCAAACTAAGACTGAAGCACTTTCAAACTTAAAATGTAAAAAATATATATGTTTGCATAATGATATAATGCAGGTACCAGATCTTGATCAATATGAGACGCTGGAATTTTTTAAATGCGCCTTCAAAAATACGCAGTTCCCATAATCGGGAGCCGAACCCGGGCCGCCTGGGTGAAACCAGGAATCTTAACTGCTAGACCATATGGGACCAACAATGATTGACGTCCAGAGATACAGGCAACACGGTGTCAAATAAACTAAATGTACTCGCTGGCGGAAATCTTTATCGCCTGCAATTTTGCGAGTACATCTCTTCCGTGAAAAGCATAAGAAGAATGTTACGTTGTCGGTCAGTGAGTTTTACGCAAGCCGTTTTGTAGATGGCAAACCATTTAAAATAGGCACAGCATGCCACGTTCGACCAGCATGCATGAGGTCAGCTAAAGTATTCCACGAGCTAGCCAGGAGTCGAACCTAGAATCTTCTGAGCCGTAGTCAGATGCATTATCCATTGCGACACTCGCTCGTCTGATAGCTGCCTCCAGCACGGTGAATTCGATCATGAATGCGCAATGGTCTGCTTCAGATATTTTCGATTAAATACTTGTTCGTATGTCTCCAACGTGACCGGAGGAAAGCGTTTGCTATGGTGGTAACGTGCTTAAATTCGAGCAAAGTACATATAATGAGATAGTATCAAGTAGTAACATAAATTTTTCTATGTTTGGGCAAAATCATGCCGAACTGATTATGCAGGCCACAACGCAGAGTACTAACCACTATACGATCACGGCAAGTCAGCACCGGGGGTCGGTAATGCTCCAAGGGAAGGCTTCATCTCCACCAATTTTTACAAAGAACTCAAAATACTCCTGTAAATTCATATATCAACTAGGTTCAGTCACTGACAAGAATTGTTTTAGGTGCTTGCTACATCGGCAGTTACCACAAAATACCAATACCTGAATTGACCCTTGTTGCCTCTGCGTAGTTTAATGTATTTTAAAAATGAGACCATATTGTAGGACACTCTACTCCTACAAAATCACACAAAAGTTACTATAGGTCTGCGAGCAGTAGTGTCTGCTTGAACGAGATCTGCTACAGCATACATTGCCACGCTGCAGTGTATCTGACAACTTTCAAACTAAGACTGAAGCACTTTCAAACTTAAAATGTAAAAAATATATATGTTTGAATAATGATATAATGCAGGTACCAGATCTTGATCAATATGAGACGTTGGCATTTGTTAAATGCGCCTTCAGAAATGCGAGTTCCTAT